AGAATATTTTAAGACATCTTGCATCGCATAAGATTATGTATGTTATTTCGAAATGTGAACTTTATCTAAATGATTATATTTAATTATCTAAGCGTCGTTTCGTTGACTTGACGTTTACGAGACAAAATTGTCGTAGTCGCTTTTATATTATATGATGACAAACATTGAATATTTCAAATAATCATATTGTAAAAAACACTTTTGAAACGTCAAAGTCGAATCATCCACCAGTGAAGCTAGTTGCAGTAGAGGTTTTTAAATTATTGAGCAGCACTTTTCCCATTTTAATACACTTTATCGACGTCGATAACATGTTCCTTATCATACATATCCCACCTCTATTCTGTCCCAACAATAGCGCACAATTATTCACTTGCTCTCAACATTACTGTTGGCATAGCAGAGTAAACAAAACACGGGCTACCGTCGAGCGGTCGAGTTGACTCGTTCAAGTGACTGCCACAGTGTAAACACTCCACTTAGTTTGACAGTTGAAATTCTGTCGATGTAATAATCTATTGAGGCTTCAATACCTACATTGCTTTGATAGTTTTATCCAGGCGAATATATTATTATATGTATATGTATAATAATACAGAATGTTGAATTATAAAAGGGTTCCAATAACTACCAACTTAAGTATGAAAAATAATAATAAGAAATCAAATATTTCGGGAACATTTTTTATCAGCCGACTTTTTGTCTAGCTGCTGAATTGATCGAAAACATCTACGTTATAAAAAGTGGTAACTTAAAACAATAAAGCTCAAAAAATATACCAATAATTTTAAGTGAACAAGTGAAAGGAACCAAAACAAAATAGTAAGAATAAAAACTAAGATAACAGTTAAGTATTGAAAAATTTAAACATAATTGTTATAAAATTAGATCAAAAAGAATAAAAAAGGGTAGTGAATATACGCATACTGACATATAAACTAGGTTTGGGATTTACTAGATATTAGTTTGCGGAATCATGATACAAAATTATATATATAGTATATTAATTGCGAGGTGAAATCTGCACTTATCAAATAATCTGAATGATATTCAGATTACCATAAGTAATTTCTATCACCATAAGTAATTTTCTTTTAGACTTCCATAAATCGCCAAAGTTCTAAATAATTATTACTTAGACCATAATATTCTTTCTTCATTACAATTCTATTTCAAAAACAGGTCTTCCATTTACGTCATCTTTGCAGTGTAGTCTCAACAAAGGACTCATATTCTACTTATTGACAGCTCAGGTATCTTGTTTCAGAAGAAAATAGAACGCATTAGACAAACAATAGCCTTTTGATATAAGTCTAGATAGATCCTTTTATGTCCTAGAACACGGGGGCGTATGAATAGCTTTGTAGTCTTAAAATACCTTTTATCAGAATATAGGACGATGGTATACAGATCCTTGTGTGGTGACGGACTGAGAAATGGGCGTCGTATGATACCTACAAGAGATCTTGATAAGCGAAATAGTGTTTTAAATTGTAGTAGGTGTTAATATATTTAATATCAACCCACGGGTGGGCTTTTCACGATCGTTCACAAAGAAATAATATAATTGAAGAAATAGGTTTTTGTATAGGTGAACCGTGCTTCTATTCAAATGGACTGACTCGAATGGAGTGATACTACGGCCTCGTAGAAAACTGACATGAAACAACGCTACGGTAAACGAAGGCCTAATCAAATCCCTAATAACCACCAAAAGCTCAAACCCACTTGCAACAACTCTAGCTTTGCACGAGTTCACTATCTCAAAATAAAATAAAATGAAAGACGGGTCATTAATTTTATATTTCTAACTACGAGTGTTTTCAGTATTTACGTGAGTACAAATAAAATAAGTTAGGTACTATCGAATTATTTCCTATACAATTAAAAGATTATGATAAACAAAATTGTGGTAAAAAGTAAAGTCTATTAAAGCAGCGTGATGTCATTGAGTGTTGTCGTCAATATTACTTCTTGAATGGCAAGCCTTTCATCATATATTAAATCCATACAAAGATTTCGAAAGAGTCATTCTTTGCATAATGTATATGAATTGATTAAACAAAGACGTTGATTCAACAGTGGCCCCTCATTACCCGGGGCTAGGTATCATCAATCATTTCGCAATGATGGAGATTCGAATCATCAGTAATTTTAACAGAATTGACGCAAAAACGTCGAAGAAAAAATTAATCATATGGCAAAGTAAGATGGTTGTGGAGGCTTGGTTTACATGGAGGATTAATTTTTCATTTGAAATAATTTGTTTTGGGATTTATTTTATTCAGCTGATATTGAATATTGTTTTATGTTTACTTAAATATTATATTATATTTTTTTTAATATTATATATTTCTTTTTCAAATATTTTTAAACGGATAAACTATTATGTTGACTTACTCATAGGCAGAACGAACCGCACAAAAAAAAATAACTTTGTTAAAATTTCAGCTCCAAAGATTTAAAGAAAAGCCGTCCAATACTAACTAGCATATTAACATTTTAATACATTTCAAAATAAAAAAAGTCTTCGATACCACTTTGCAAAATTCAGCATTTAAACATGAAATGGTTTAACTTAATATTTTCCCTTGTTTTTCAAGAATTTATTTTATTTTTGTGAATCTGTCGCAAAAATAATAATCATACAACAGATACTATGTAAGCCAACACTAACCAATTACAATGGGCAAGCGGAACAAAGAGCCGGCCACTTACAAGATGTTTTTTGATTACCCATTAACCCGACAAACGTTGTAATGGCCACCGAACTAAATTGTTGCCCTTGCATTATCCTTTAGCCGCAGGGTAGCAGCAGAGTAATTGTCCGTTAATTATATGGTAGGATCATGTCTTGTGACGCCATTTTTGATAATTCGCATAATCATTTTAGAATTAATGCAGATTGGTCGGATAGCTATTTAATATTGACCTTTATTTTATTGTAATCTTCTGGTCAGTTAATAAGATACCAAAGTTATCTAGGCAAAAAGTAGCAGTCTACTTCTGTACAACTAGGTACTTTTAATACGACTAGGAATATATCTGTTATATAGGCCCATTGTTTCAGTTCCCTTTAAGAATAATGATGTGACCAATTTGATAATATTCTATAAAGTATTTTTACTATTTTACGAGTGTATAACCGCGGCACGGTTTAACGTAGAAAATGTTGAAAAATTTGCCGCTTCTTATTAAACTTGGTACTTGTTCCATTGAGTATAATATTTATAATACTTTGATACGGTAAAGGTAAACATCGTGAAGAAACCTAGACTTATAATTTCTAATTATAAGTTTGAAATCGCCAACCCGCATTGAGCAAGCGTGGTGATTAATGCTCAAACCTTCTCTGTGTGAGAAGAGGCCTTTGCTCAGCAGTGGGCACTTATGGGCTGATGATGTAATGTGATGTGGTACTTTGATATAACGATCATAAACGGTGTCGCGTTAACATTCTTAGATGTGTAAAAATTAGTAAATAGTGTCCTTCGAGTGACTATAACATTATTTGCATATATTATCAGTCTTGTTCTACTTGATGTTGTACAGAATCAATGACGTCATTTTTTGGCCCACTCAGCCCTCAAGTGGCACTGAAAGGCGGTTCTGTATCATTGACAGACGATTGCGTGTTTCCTGCGCGAGCGCACCCTTTGATCTTCAAGTGTTTTGTTCAATGTAAAATATGTTCGGCCATTCTTTAATGTTCTAATTTATTATTCTTCAAACAAATTGTTTAAATTGTGTATCTTATTGTTTTGTTATTTTTTGACATGTAGATTTTCATTTATTCTTCAGTTTTTTGGTTTATTTCGAGGTTCGTTATACTTTTACAAAAATATGGAGAATATGAAAAATAAAACTATAAGGTTAAGCATAAAATATATTTTATTTGTAATAAATTGTAAAATAAAATAAAATATGACTTTCATATTTTTTTATTCTATATCCGATCAGATAGGTATCAAGCGATCTAGTACATAATAATCGATGTCAGGGTACGTGCGTTCGTTAGCGCGCTATAAATTGAAGTAATCCGACAGCGCATAAATCGTGCCTTTGATCCGATGCGCGGGAGTTGAACTGACGTCCTGTTTGTGCTAATATTGGTACAGTTGCTCAATGTTATGTGATATTGTAAGTTTCTTTGAATTTCTATTTACAAAAAAAAAATGCAGCAATTTCAGACAAGACATTCATCTTGACTGACATTATATTTAATGACTTTTAAATCTATATTGACTAATATTTCTCTACGTGTATTTCCTTTCCCTGCTTATTTTCTTTTTTTTCTTCTTCCAAATCTTTCTTTAATGTGCAGCACAACCTATAAGTATAATAAAATTGTTATGTACAAATTTAACTGTTTGTGATTATAATTGTGACCGTTTGAAGAACTAGACCAGGGCACAGACACTGACAGCCATGAAAATATCCCAATCAACTTCACCCTCCCATACCCAATCTCCACAACCCAAATCTCCAATCTTCAAAAGGCCAGCAAAGGACTTGAAACAAATCAGTATTCCACATATCCGTTGGTGGCGCCGCTTGCTTACCATCAGGGGACCCATCTGCATGTTTGCTAACCCATTAAAAAATATGTCAAAACTTATTCCTATGTCAACCTCATACTTTGAATTTTTCGTGTATTCGATTGAATAATATTTAATAGCATTTAGTTTTGTCTTCGGGTAGTTGAAAGATTCTGATTACAACGAGTATTACTCTTTGCTGTTTCTATTGAATTTTAATGTGTGAGTGAGTGTGGGAGAGCCATGCTTCGGCACGAATGGGTCGGCTCGACCGGAGTGATACCACGGCCTCACAGAAAACCGGCGTGAAATAACCAAAGAGTTGTGTTTCGCCGTGTGAGTGAGATTACCGGAGGCCCAATCCTTCCCCTTCTCCAATCCGTTCCCTTTCCCAAAATTGCCAAATCTCCAATCCCCAAAATGTCGACAACGCACTCGTAACTCCTCCGTCGTTGCGGGTGTCTATGGGCGACGCTGATTGCTTGCCATCAGGTAATCCGTTAGCTCGTTTGCCGACCTATAACATAAAAAAATATATCATTGAATTTTTACCTTAAAGTGACGAAGTAAATAATCTCCATAAGACTGAGGAAGGAGAATCCTAAGAACAAGCCTAGGAGACCTCCGCAGTTAGCAAGGAAGTCGATGATGCCAAACAATTCAGAGCGACGCATCGACAGGAATCTAGGCTTCTTGAAGTATATCTCCAACTTGGAATAATTGTAACTGAAATGTATACAAACAAATTTCAATAAGTGAAAAGGATAGACAACGATGAAGAAGAGAACAGAAAACCTGCAGACTATTTATAATGCTTTAATGTATTTTAAGGCAAATTCCTTAAATGCTGTCTGTGAAAGATTAATACTGACCATGTCGTAATTGAACGGTGAAGGTAAACATCGTGAGGAAACCTGGACTTATAATTTCTAATTATAAGTTTGAAATCGCCAACCCACATTGAGCAAGCGTGGTGCATAAAAGCTCTAACCTTATTTGTATGAAAAGAGGCCTTTGCTCAGCAGTGGGCACTTATAGGCTAATGATGATGATGATGTATTTGAACTAGTAAAATTATCTTTTGCAATTCGATAGAAAATAAATGAAAAAATTTAAATAAGATAATCAATAGATTTAAACTGACCTTTCAAGTTCATTTTTATCAGGAAGTTTGTATATTTTATCAATAGTCCCAATTAATTTTTGTAAATTAAAATCAGTTTTCAATATTTCTGCATCATAGTCAACAGAGTTGCATGACGGTAAGCAATGGCATACGTAATCTTCTTGGGACGATTCTCGGTGAAGCATCGTTTCTGAAAGATTATATTTATGACAATACAATATCGTATAAGTTTTTAGGATTTCTGTTAACAAAGTGCTATCAGGGCCCTTATAGTTGCAGCAGCAAAAACAGCAAATCTATATTATTCTGAAACTTACCTCTTGCATTCTGAACACAATTATCATCATATTGAGTGCAAATTCGGTTGCTACTGGAATCTGTAAAATATATAGGTATTTATTTTAGAAAACATACCAACTTTTATCTCTAATTAATTTATCTATTTAAAATATCAATGATCTCAAATATGTTCTACTAGTTTCAAATTACAAAGGGACTTTTATTCATGAGCAGTGGACGTAAGTCGTTATTCATTTAATAGATGCAGTATGTCTCAGGATAATTATGATATGTATAGATAATGTCCTACAATTTAAACTTACGAGGCATATAGAAATTGACACAGCCACAGAGTTGATAAGTGATGTTTGATAGGCATTCAATCATACAGTTGCTTGCAGTGTAAATGTTGAAATACTTTAAATACCGCTCATCAGGGAAATAGCATTGACGTCTGAAATAGAAGAAAAACATAAAGAAACGTAAGTTTTAGTCTATATGTGAGGCAACGTAGAAAATGAAATTCACAAATGTTTGCATCATGGTGTAGAAAGTTCTGAACATAAAATGATCAGGCTGAACCGATTACACTTATTTTCTTTAATCCCTTCACTCCTTCCCAAAACCACTGCAAATCCTCTAAACTAGAACCTACAGTAGGTACAATGACGATTAAGATAGTTAGTAAGACACTGAACATTTAAAAGTTTTATAAAGAAACAGTAAAAAGGGAAAATATGTCTTACATTTCTGCATCATAACTCCTCAGTCTATCTGAACTATTGAGAATGCTGAAGCTCAGTGCCATCGAGGAGACTTGTGAATTCAATACAGCATAGTAGTACAGTGAAGATTGAGGCAGATCAGCAGGATGTTGGATATATACCTATGAAAAATATAAAAATAGTCGTGAGGGTTGAAAATAGGATAATGTTAACTCTATAAATTTATAAGTTTATAGTATTCATTGTTCTAATAGCCTTGAAACGAAATGACATGATATATTATGTGAAACTGATTTAAAAAGAGTAACCTTGGAGTTTCTTGGTCGTTCTTCTCCATCGGAATCTACACTTTGGAACGAGCAAATAGCTTCACTAAGAGGACTGACCGACAGACTGACACTATATCTTAAAAATTTTGTTTGACGTTCAAAAGTGCCTGTAACGGAAGTTGACGGTGCCTGAAGTGTGGGAGAGCCAAGCTTCGGCACGAATGGGTCGGCTCAACTGGAGTGATACCACGGCCTCACTGAATACCGGCGTGAAACAACCCACAGCGTTGTGTTTCGCCGTGTGAGTGAGGTTAGCGGAGGCCCAATCCTCCCCTTCCCCTATCCCTTCCCAATCCTTATATCCGCAACCCCCATCCCCAAAAGGCCGGCAACGCACTCGTAACTACTTTGCGGCGGCGCCGATTGCTTACCATCAGGTAATCCGTGTGCTCGTTTGCCGACTTATACATTAAAAAAAAACGGTCTTATTGGAAAAAATGATTTTTAAGTTTTTGTCTTTTGACTTTGACAAAGATTATTAATTTAAAATTCTTGATTAAAAAAGAAGAAATTTTTGTATCTTACCTTAAAACCGGATCTAATAGCGTTGCAGAGTTTGTCACGAACATGATATTCTTGTAGTACTACCTCCACATCAGGTGACGCTCTGTTTGGCTGACAAACAAAAAATAAAAACATCAACAACTAAGGCAAGTTTGAAAAAAAATCTTCATAGTAAAAAAACGTCATGCGGGTTCCCAATTTTGTAACATATTGAATCTTTTTGAAGTATCCGCAGCAAAGAAAGCGTACTGTAACTTAACGTTAAATTTTCGCAAGGTGGTGCTTACAATAATTGATGCAAAGTTTCAAACAATTTTTCTAAGTCACTAAAATAAAAGCCGATACAAAATCTCAGAAGAATGTTACTAAAATATGTCTAGCTACTCGCATACAGTTTCCCCTGCTGCTCGATTCTTATTGTCGATAGCATTGTTTGTAGTGCTTTCACAATAAATGGCTATTCAACACAAAAATAATTAGTCAATTCGGACCAGTAAATTCAAAGATAAGCACGTTCGAACAAAGAAGCAAACTTTTCAGCAATATTAAAAGTATGGATTTTTTGGCATCTACTTACCATTCCTGGCATCGGATAAAACGATGACGATGGATTTGAATGGTTATCTGAATTATTGTACGCGTAACCATGTTCGAGAGACCAACCCTTAATCTTTTTTGAAGAATTCAAATATACGTAGTCTCTCTGTAACCTGAAAAAATGTTTTATCAATGAAGTTAATTTATGTTCATACAAATAAAAAAGACACAGAAACTGATCAGATTAAAAGAAAATGGAATCGTAGTAGGTATTTTGACTAGCCGTTTTATTCCAGAGAATACTCATTATGTACAAATATGATAGCGAACTCTACGATATTCCATGTAGTGAAGAATGATATTGGAAATAAAAAAAAATTTTACAAAATAAAAAAACCGCCTTCAAAAAAAGTCAAGCAATAAAAGTTCCTACACTAAAAAGTAAAAAATAACAATTTGAATTACTGTAAAAAAACTTAATTTATAGGTAAACTTATTTGACATTAATATTTTGCAAATATTCAAAATTTATTACTTATTTTTGGAGTCGGTGCCAGCATTTTGATGTTGAAACTTAATGTTAGTTAGGTTTTTAATATCCGGTGCCATTTTTCGTACATAATGCTTAAACATTTTCAATGTACTTAAAATGTTTTTGTAAGTACATATTTTTTATTTAAAAAAATGTGCAAATCGGACATTTTTTGTAGAGAAGTCTAATCTGTATTTATGTCTTAATTAATATACCTATATTTGAGTATGCAAATAGGTATTAAGTAGTTTTATAATTAAGTAAGAGGTAGTTTTTCAAGGGATTGTTGCCCATTTGTATTTCCTTGCATGGGCTGGCACCGACTCCAAAAATAAGTAATAAATTTTGAATATTTGCAAAATATTAATGTCAAATAAGTTTACCTATAAATTAAGTTTTTTTACAGTAATTCAAATTGTTATTTTTTACTTTTTAGTGTAGGAACTTTTATTGCTTGACTTTTTTTGAAGGCGGTTTTTTTATTTTGTAAAATTTTTTTTTATTTGTTGCTGTTTAGTGTTTTTTTTTTTTATTATAATGTGTTATGGCAAAGAAGTCAATATCGTTCCTACATTTCTTTTGAAAAAGTTACCAATGTCATACTTATACGTAGAAATACATATCATAGTACATTGTTACTGTGTAATCGTTTTGATCTCGAGGAGAGATGATATGATGCATGAGATACTTATGACTTATAGTTAAAATAAAATAATAATCTTATCATAAATTCATATTAGTTCTCGCCAAATAACAAAAAACTAGATATTTTCATCAACAGACAGATAAAGTTCAAAGATACCAAATGCAATCTAATTTAGTATCTATGATTAAATACATTCGTACATAGAAAAAAGACCGATGCAATTATTGTTTTGTATCAATTGTAACCCATTAAATGAAGAATACTATTTTGTTATTACTAAGAACATTCATATATAGACAAGTTGGTAAAAATATAAAAGACCATCGCTATTGTAAATATACATTTATGACTCATTCAATGTATGAACCTTTTTTAAGTAAGTATTATCTACATATGTGCACACAAAAGAAACACAATTATTGTTTTGTACGACGCAATTATTGTTTTGTAACCCATTTAAAACGACTGTTTTGTTAAAAATGCCAATTAATTCTCTTAGCCTATTACCAGGAAAACGATAAGAACACAATGACGCATTTCACCACTAATGTGTAAACGCAGTCCACGTGGACTAATGCAAAATAGCCAATACTAGGCCAAACTCCGCCCCCAAAGGTGTGCGGTCCCGCTCTAGAACCTTTCGGCCCCATCGGCCATCTGTTCTACGAGCAATGTGCCGTGCCCACTGTCACTTAAGTTTGGCATTTCTTCGGGCTATGTCGGTGACGCTGGTTCTTCTGCGGATTTCTTCATTTCTGATTCGAACATGCACGGAAACTATGAGCATAGCCCTTTCCATTGCTCTTGACAGCTCTAATAAGCTTACACAATACTAGGCCCCATGCCAACCTTCCAGCTTCATCATCACATCAGTTCAATAGTACCTTACAGCCAAAGTGCATCTTATAACAATTCTAACAAGCCCAAACACGGCTAGGATATATTAATTAGGTACGCAGTTCCAGTGCCTACCTTCCAGCTCCATAATCATCATTAAATCAGTTCGATGATAACATTTCCAACATAATTATTTAAGATCATTGGTTTACAGTGCATTTTCATAGTTGCTGAACTACCTTGATTGTGATATCTATGCGAGTGTCAAGTTTCATCATCCATTTCTGATCTTCTTCACCAGTTCCACCTCATCAAACATTACTTTTTGACTGTAAATGCTTGAGTGCTCTATGAAAATATTAAAATTACTATATAGTTGCCTATAATATTTGAGGAGTTCCCTCGATTTCTCATGGATCCCATCATCAAAACTTGATTTTGAAAAGAATGGGACCAATCTGGAAGCATATCCTTTCAATCATAAAAAAAATTTTGCAAATCCGTCCATAAACGACGGAGTTCTGAGGTAACAAACATAAAAAAAAAAAATAAAAAAAAAAAAAAAAAAAAAAATACAATCGAATTGAGAACCTCCTCCTTTTTTTGAAGTCGGTTAAAAAAGAATTGGTGTTGTGCTTATTACTAATAGAGCAAAATTATCAAAAGAAAAAAGCGGCTCACTGGGATTTAAAGAAGCGCAGAAAGGAAAATATTTTTAAATTGTAGTAAAATACCTCGTAGTCCTAAGAATGTCGGAAGCAGCAAGTGAATTCATTGTATAACAGATTCCTTCACTGGTGACAACTTTGTCAAATAGGTCGGGACACAACATATAGTTTCCATTAAGTTTACATGAAAAAAATACATCGTCATAGTCGGGAGAGGTCTGAAATTACCAATTTAATTGACTACCTAAAAATTCAAGCAGGCTGCAGGCCATTCTATTGAAAAAAGGTAATCTGGGGTACCACATTATATTATTATAAGGTCGAAGTATTAAGATTTTTAAAATATAACATTAAGTATTTAAAATTAACCAATAAATTTTACATAAAGCTCTTACTTCCAAAAAATTTTCCACAATAGAAGCATCAGTGTAGCGATAATTTTCTCCTAAATAGTAGGTGGAGTCCAAAGCATCACATATTTGTGACATTCCATAAAACTTAATGAGTTCATTTATCATTCTGAAACAGCAATCGAAGATTTTAGATCTAATTTTAAACGAAGACAAAGTTCCTTACTGGAATTTGAGGCAGAACCTGAGATCAACCTGGCCAATGGTTAGATGGACAAACAAATTAGAAAAAAAGACTTAAAGAAGTTAATAAAATTGGTAGATAGCATAATATAAACTTACGTCTCATTTAAAGAGCTTGTGTTGTGCAGGTAAACCGGAACTATTTGATCCAAATTTACATTCATGTCAGTAAAATTGTAGACTGAAACCTTACATTTTGATTGGGGACATATTGTCACTGATGGAAAGGGCACCTGGAAATTAAAACAACAAAAATACTGATTTGCACAAAAATACTAAATATAAGTACGGGTTCCAAAGTTTTTTTTGAAATACGTATATTCATTAGCACGTAGCTTCAGTGATTAACTGACTGACAGACTATATTCTATTTATGAATTTTAAAAGTCAAAAAAGTCAGTTTATGATTTAGTTGGAATTTGATTTTTGACCTTGATTATGTAGTGTGATTTTTTGTTAGAATATTTATTGAACACATTATGTAACAGCATAGCTTGAAAGTATTCGACTCTTCTCTAGCCAAAAAGACAGGAGCATGTCGTTAAACGTAATAATATTTTATTTAACAAAAAAATTTAGGAACAATTATATTCCGTTAGTAACAAAAGTTCATATCACACACTTGTTAATCCACAAACTTTTCTATAGGTGTAAGAGCAATACATAATGGCGTTCCACAGGGTTGTGCCCTCGGGCCATCATTTTTTAGTATGTTGTTACATAAATCTGATAACTATAAAAATAAAACAACAGAGTTACCATCAAAGAAAAATACTTGTTCTCTCAAGTAAGAAATTGAAATAAACTTACCATGCTGACTGGTACTAACTGTTCACTGACAGTCACTATTACTGGACTGGTCTGCCATTTAAACCACACTTTGCTGATCAAGAAAAGACACATGCACATACTAGCCAAAAACATTATTAGCCAGACAATCCTGTGAATCACAAGAAAATGAAGGTATCAGTTAGGAACCTTGTAATTTGGGATTATGAATGAAATCAATAAAAATAAATTTTGTAAATTATTAATCGGAAATCATTTTAAATTGATGTATATGGAATTATAATATAATACAAATAGAAAAGAAAAAACAAATAATGTGGAACAGATACAAGGATATAATTCATCAAAAAAAAACCTAACCAAAATGTATTAGAATGTATCCTAATACCTATTCATTATAACAGTCTAAGGAAAAAATTATAAGGCACTTACTTTTCAAAGCGAGTTAATCCATTCCTAGTCACATAAGGAAGGCCATGCAAAGTGGTATTGTTAGCATACTCAAACATTAGTTGCTTCACGAGGAGTTTTTGACGTTTTCTTCTAGCTTTGCGGATACATACATCCCCGTACACATTGGTAATAATCACCATTCCATTCTCATCTAATTCACCCCTAAAAAATTTAATTAATTTTTGCATGCTGATTTCATTTTTTGATGTCATTTTACTTTTGGTGTTTTATTATATTTTTTATTCATTTTTTGTTTTTCCTTTGTGGTTCGCTGAGAAGGTTATTGCAGTATTTGAATATCAAAATATTCGCCACCATTTCACATTTTGAAATTAGATTATTTTTCCGAGTGGCTGCAAATAACTTAACTGGCATATCAAAAATGGAAAAATACAAAAATAATAAATCGATTACGTAGAAGATTTTAAGCGGTCGATTGCGTTTTTGTCAATTATCTGTAACTAGTTGGAATTCAAAGTGCTATTATGTTTGAAATTAATTTACACAGACTATCAAATAATAATAACTCTAATACCAAATTGTACAAAAGCAATTACAAGCAAAACTCTCCCTAATTGACACCAAAGTATCACAGATCCCAACAGTACACAAAAATAGTTCTAACAATAAAAAAATTTACTCCATTTTCCTTTGCAAATTTTTTCTCTAACCTCACAACCACTCACGAATGCGTTATTCCAGTAAATGAATAGGAAATTAGTGTGATGTACAATATTTTCTTAATTGGGTTAATGGGTACCCGCCGCACCGAACCTGAGGGACTTTTCGATAATTATCAGTGTATTAGATCAAAATGTAATTATACCAGTAAACATAGTGTTGTACTTCTTTCCTTGTTTCATTATTTTAACTGTTGCTTTTATTAAATAGGTAGTGTTTGGTTTGTTTGGTTATTTCTGGTTCTGTTTTTTTTTCCAAACTAGATTCAAAAAATTTCGTAAACAAAACAATTCATAAGTACCTGATGGTAAGACAATGAATTTCTAAACATAACTATTAAAAAAAATTGTAAATTGTTATTAAAGAGGCCCAATCCTTCCCCTTCCCAATCCCTAAATCTCCAAATCCCTAAACCCTAGAGGGTCGGCAACGCACTCGTAACTCCTCCGTTACGGGTGTCCATGGGCGGCGCTGATTGCTTACCATCAGGTAATGCGCCTGCTCGTTTGCCGACCTATTACATAAAAAAAAAAATTAACTTCTTAATGATATACGTTCCTTTATTCTAATACTCCTAAATCTGATCCTTCGAAAGTATGTTGGGCAGAGAAAAAACTAAGTTGATATCTAAATAGTAATTTAATTAATAAGTTGCGCTTTTAGCAACCGCATCACTAATAAATAAGCTTTCACCTCACCTGCCCTATATTAATGTAGGTTATTTTAACTAATTAAATGATAAATTACAAAAGTAGCCTTGTAGCGCTCTAATGATTAGTTTAGCAAAATATATTATAATAGAATTGCATGTCTACCGCCTGTTTGCAATTTCCTAATGTGTGTTTAAAATAAAATAACGTTACATAACACGTTTCATATCCTAAAGGGGTGGAAATTATAATTGTACACACTATGTTTCACACTTTATGTTCCTACTAATTTCCGGGAAAAAATAAATAAAAACGTTTTATTCTAACTCATACATTGTCATATATAACAAAAATTAAGTCAACCCCAGTAAGTTATCAGTATACTTGTGTTGGACTTGCTTTGCACCTTCCCTTAATTCCCGAGAAGAAACCGAACCGGGAATCATTGATAGGTAGTTAACTCAGTTAACCTCTTACTCAACGTAGAAATTAGTTGAAAAAAAGACAGTAACTTAGAATGTGTTAAGTGATCACACCTAAGAACTACAAAAAGAGATAGACTAGAAAACTCTTGAATGATATTTGATAAATCTTAAAGCTAAAAATGACAGACACCATCACGCAATAGCAACTTTCTCAAATATTTTGACCTCTATTGAGTATAAGAAAAAGAACTTACAAACAGTGGATAACATATGGACTATAACATATACCTATTAGTCTTGATGACGTTTTTTCTGATCCAGTACAAAATAAACTGAGACGAGCAGTTGAGAGACAGACGAGCGACGCGAAGACGCCGTCACTGCACCCCATAAAAACAATGACAAGATTTATCTCTTATTCAATTTAAAATCTTTCGAACAAAGCCGTGTATAAAGTATTATTTGTTGCGAACAATGTTTTAAAAAATTATCAGAGACTTCCACAGACATCATACATAGGCAACTATGAGTACAAGTTGATTATTTCTTTTTTTTACTTGAAACAACATCTCTACTATGTAGTTGCTAGTCACATCGGAACTCATATAAATGAGTTGCGTCCGCGTCGCGCCCAAAGCCAACTGAAACTTTTCTAATTTCAATACATTTCATAGTTACAGACACAGATATTTTTTTTAATTTTGTCCTTAGGCCAACATACATACTCATCTTCTTACAAAAAGCCTTGGATCCAAGCTTTAAGAAGCAAGTTGAGCTTAGATAAGCTTAGTTTACATTATCAGCTTAGGTATCCATAATTAATGTAAATTAGTCAGAGCTAAAAAAGGTAATGTCCAAGATTCTAACTAAGAATGCAATTTTATGCTTTACAGGTTTCGACAGGCAGGTGACAGTCGCTCCGGATAAAATATTGACAACCGAATCGAATAAGATTCAACGAATTCAGAAGAAAAAGAATTGGCAGTGATCAAGATCAAGTTATCGGTACCAGATCTTGTTAGAGGTAGTTGTGTGTAGGCTCGTCCTTGTTGCAATGTAGAATTATAATTTACATTTTATTATGTTACATGCTAATGAAATAAATAAAACTATTTCTCTTTATGTATCTAGAGCGTAAAGACAACATTACTATACAGTTTACTTGAAGTTGTCAACGTTATTGAGTACTTCCTGCATAGCATTGATCTATTACTTGATTGATTAATTCATAACATTAGTTCCATATACTTACAAACTTATTTTGCAGCTGCAACACTTAAGATACTTGCAAAAATAATCCGTATAACCACCACGGTAAGGTTGTTGTGGTAATTTGTTGAGGTATTTTATATTATAGTGTTTTATTTATAATGTAGGACACAGCTGTGTTTTAATTTGACAGCTTATGATATGTTAAGTTGTAAATGATTGTTCGGCTCTTGATTGTAAGGTTAAATTAGTTGTATAGAACATGTTGTTACGATGTTAATACAAGCATTAACTTTTATGTCAACTTTATAATGTAAACCGGTCGTTTCTTAAGATAATATTTGATCTGTATGACATTTCCTTATTTTGTAAAAGGACCTTTACCTACCTACAAGTTTATCTTGTAAATAAAAAGTCAAAAAATTGGGAATGCAGCCAGCTAGTGGACCTTAGACATTGTGTCGTATGTTCATTTTCATCATAATCCGTCTGATTCCGACCACTGCTGGATCTAGGCGTCTCCAATTGCACGCCACCGAGGTCGATGTTTAGCTCTTCTCATCCAACCGGTGCCTGCCAACCTTCCAAAGGTAGCAGTCTTTCAGTAGGGTAGGATATGCGTGGGTTGCCCTGGATCCATACTGCTCTTACTTCCAACTTACGTCAGCTTGGCAGTGGACATGATTAAAACCTCCTGTGAATGACATATGACATCACAAAATAAAAGAACAAGGTGACTGTTTCCTATTTGCAAGTAAAACAGTTCACTTGTTATTCAGAAATGATCTTCTGTTTTTGTTACTGAGAATTAATTGGGCCACAAATCCAATTTTAAACTACATTTCTTCACATTATTTATATCAACCAAATCCGTACGTAGATAAATCACTATAGTTAACCAAACTCTTGGCTAGTTTCATTAGCGACAATACATTAGTTTTTATCAGGTCGCATTGTGAGCGGATTGCTGCTGTCATTCTTATCTGACTGTATCTCCGCTGTCAAAAGTATATCATTTAGACAGTCGGCGACCGGTTGTGGTCGACGGCGATTGGCCGATATACTCAAGAGGATGGTCAGCAGAAAACTTTCAGTATTTTTTATTTCCAATATATAATTTTTATTTCAATTTTATCAAAGAAAATGACTGTCAGTAAATGAGCAGACGGATTACCTGACCGGAGATTAAAGGGAGGGGGGGAGGGAGAAAGAAGAATTGGGGTTTCGGTGACCTCACTGACATGGAAAATGTGAAATGTTTTTATTCAAAAGCATAAAAAACCGCATAGTCCAAAATAGCGTCACAATTTTGTCAAATAATCTTCACACATACACTTTTATAATGGAATATAATTCTGACCATTATTTAATAAGAAAAATACAGTACCTAAATAACATTTTTATCAATTTTATGCTTCCCTTGAGCGTATCGGACGCTGTCAATCATATAGCAAATGGCGCCTATACATGGAAAAAATATGTAACATGTAATCATTTAACGATTAGTCTTATGCTCCTAACATTCAATCATCCAATTACGGACGAATAAAAAGAAAACCAATTTACCAACGTTTTTCAAATGTCACCTCTGGCGAAGAATTATGTGCTTTGACCCAAATATGGTAAGTTGTAATTCCTTTGCTGATAATATGTAGAAGTAATTAGGTATAGTGTAATTAAAGTGTAGTTTTATAACGTTGTTATAAACTGATGTAAGGTGAAATATGAGCGAGGAAATTGCAACAGCACTTAGTTTGGTATTGTATAGTTTATGGTCCATAAACTGAGCTCTGTAACAGTAAGTTATGGTGGAAAATGTTGTGAAACTTTTCCGTTCTAATATAAAAATCACAAAATAGTTAATTGATGTTTATTTGTTACAGAATCATTAACATGATCTTGACCAAATATAAATACCTTATATTAATAAATGAATAAAGTTTTTTTTTTTACTACAATTAATCTCTCATATTTATTTATAATAAATATTTTTCTTCCGACGCTACAACCAATTGGCTACCGGATAAAATTTAACGAATCACCCGCCGTCATTTTAATGCTATCGTAATGAATGTTATATACGAAGTCATTTTATCGACCTTACAGCTTCTGTCTTTTTTAATCTCCTCTATCAGGTGTAATTGATTTAGCTTCCATATTACAGTCGTTTGATCTGGAAGAGTTTATTATATTTTATATTAGAACAGGTTTATATTGAGTTGAATTTATTTTACCGAGACTTTAGTTATTAATAAAACTAATTAGGTATTTCAGTAGATTATGTTGGGGTAATTCACGTTTTTATTCATTTCTTTGTAAAGTATATATTACGTTTTTATAAAGGTTTACCTCAAGGAGCAAGTCTGGGTCCAACTTAACTTTAAAATTAAGTTTTTGTACTCGCAGACCGTGTCGAGAACATTACTCCTTAGTTTTTTCAAGTGACATGATAGTAAACATCTCTACAAGAGAAAACAATCGTAAAATGGAATTCAACTTATAAAGCACAAAAAGCAGCTGAAAAATGTATCGTGACGAACAAGACCATTGTTGTCTCACATGCCATTTCACATTTCACGCAGGCTACTGCAACGGCCATAACTCCGGAACATTTATTACTCCGTATGATTGTCGTATCCAGAATTAATATCACCATTGTCTACAAATGTTTCTCTTTTATTTTACCTCGCTATCTGACCGGTAGCCGCATATCCAAAGCTTGAGTTATCTCGATCTGCCGCCAATCAATCTACATCACGTCACTACTTTTCAAACTTTCTTAGGTTTTCAGTTGGAAAACTCAATAACCAACCATATGTCTACATTAGTAAGGTTGAAAAATAAAAGCTCGGTTAAGTTTATAAAGTTGTGTCTGCTTCGATCGGTCGTAACAATCGATTTTGATTGACAGATAAAAGAAATCGATGCATCGCTTTGTTCGTGGATCGATTATTGTGTCTACGTAATTGGATAACGGAATGTGATGGCAACAGTGCATGGTTATTTGGAGGAGCTTTTAAATTTTATGGGGTTTGGGTTACCATGTGAATTGATTAGATAAAACTGTGGATTCGACCAAACAGAAAAAGTCTCCAAACCCTTTATAATTCAACTCAGATATTAAATTGGGTCCTAATTTCTCCAATCGTTCGTTAAATATTATTGTTATAAATATATTTTGGGTACAATTCGCGTTGTTTTATAAAAAGAAACAAAAATTTTGTAGTTAGTAACCAGATTTATTAATGTGCAAATTATCGTCGTCCTCTCCTTTGCAAAACGATTGGCTTCTTTTAGTACCCTCTACTCTCCCACAGTCGGCAAAAATTGATTCATATTCACGATTATCATGAACACACACACCGACATACCAATTTTCCGTAATAATAACCTTATTATAATAACAAAGTTCCCTTTGTAATAGCCTCCGTGGTTTTCATATTAAATTATATGTTCCTGACGCCGCAAGGTATGTCTGTCCGTCCGTTCTTTTTTTGTTAGTACCTACTTAACTGTTTCTTTTTTTTACGTAATTACTGGTAATAATGTTAACTGACATTGTTACTGTTTACCCTTATCTGTGGTTTATATTGGGTAAATTGAGTTCCGATGTTTTTGATCCTTTATACTTAGTACACAAAAAAACAAAGGTTGATAATTTTACTTAAACGTAAAGACTGTCAGTCAACATTACTGCACTACTGTATATGCAAAGCTTACTATTTATTACAAAGAGCAATTTACCGCACAGAAGAATACGTATGAAACTCCAAGCTATTCCTAACACTCAACATCCAAGTAACATATTGCACAAAGGGCAGAACGAATGCTTGATCACCTTAATGCTAAAACAAGATCCCTCACTTAGGAGCCAAAGAACATCAATTTAGTTCCCACATCAGAAAACTCCATATAAGTTCAAATTTACCTCCATCATTACGTAGCCATTAACTCTAAGCTAGGTAAGTGAGGATAGCATTTAACTAAAATAGATGTTAATAAGTGCCTACGATACTCAGGTAACGTTGTACGTAAATCGTAAGCAACCTAGTTAAGACTGACAGAGGTGCGCTACGGTAGTACAAGTGATAAATATATAGAGGTTTAGGTTAACGCAGAAGATAGGACAGAATTCTGGGTTGATGGTGAGTTGGCTGTGACTGCAACTATCGAGTATAAAGTTGTTGGATCGATTTGTGTATTGGATAAACTTAGACTGAGTTTCTCTAATTCAAAGTATTCAAGTAATAGGCACGTAGCATTTAAATCATTGATTAATTGCAATCCACGTTGTTTACAACCACTACACCAGGACTGGTAAAATAACAGCATGGGAGGCAATATTATGTGAGAATTACTTTTATTAATTTTCAATAAAAAGGAAAGGAAACTGAACTGAATTTTCACAATCACCTGTCATGCATTTGACTATTTACCAATGTACAGATTAAACGCCATATTTTTCAAGGCAGTAGGTACTTCTCTTTTTAACAAATTAATGAAGTTACATTAAACAAGTATGTTTGCTTGTCGCTTATTCCTATATTTAAGCCCAGTAGAATCACATACATCACGCGAAACTCCGGCGTAAGCGAGTGTAAGTAAGCGCTAACTAACGCAAGGAAGACTTAGACGCGAAATATTTGCACCGTGCAGCACTTAGCGCTCTTATCGCTCGAATAAATCGCTTCAAGCACTTATTTGTTGAAACACCCGAGCACTGTGATTTCGTATGCTTAAAGCGTTGATTGAGATACGTTTTGTGGAGTTTTAGCAACGGCTGTAATTTTTGATTTTAAGGAAAATTTTAGGTTTGCTGCAAAATAAAAAAATGATATTTGGTTTGCTTGGTAGGTTTGCTTTGTTTATGTTATTGTAATTGTCAAGGTTCATCAGTTTTTACACATTAACAGTTGTGTGCAATTTAAAATTTCTACATTATTATTTGTTAACCTTTCAGTTTCAATTTCATAACATATTATCATCAGCCCATAATTGCCCACTGTTGAGCAAATGCTTGCTCAAGACGGATCGGCATTTTCATAAAATTTCTTCTATATTCTAGATATTTTTCTTCTAGCTGGAAAATTTCTAGTGTTTTTTATTTGGTAAATCAGAATTCCTGTTTATTTAGAGACAAAACTGCATCCAGGAGTGACTAACAAAAATGGATTAGCGTACTCGCCCACTCGCTCCTCGCCCGTCCACTAGGCCATAAAGCTAAAGTATGGCCTCAACGGATTATGAGGCCAAAGTTATGGTAGTTACGGCTTACGAGAACTTACGCTGAATTTATGGATTGTTGCTCAGTGAAAAAGTTATTGGCCTTGGCCTGATGTCCATGTTTTTTCTAGAAGCTTTGCTTGGATATCTTCATCAGCTAATGTATGACTAATATATTTGAGAATTATGTTGTTTTTATGCCCAAAGTCGTTTATCTGAACGAGTGAGAACATCGCATTACGTTGCCTTATTTAGAATATTTTGGGGTGAAAATAAAATGGATCTTGTTTTATATTGAAGCTTGTTCATCGTCGAAGAATTTACTAAACATTTGACTTTAACTAACACGCCTCTTGGCATTTTCTCATTACTAATCAATTTGTTCAAAATAGTTTTGTAAAATTCAAAATATATATGTAATAGCTAAATATTAACAAAATATATCAACCTCCATTCATTCCATAGAACTAG